CCGCCCACCATGAAAGCTGGAACGCCCACTAGTGGGCGGTAGGGACCAGGTTGACTACCACTGCACTAGCTGTTGCCAAAGCCTGAAACTGCTTTTACCAAAACTGGGTAAAAGCTGTCTGCTATAAATCTATAGGAGCATATAACACTGCCTAATGTTAACATTAATGTTGATAGAAGAGGGTTTCCTAAAAATGCCCTCACTTTCAGAGGACTATTTGCCAAGTACGTAAGAAAAGGCCTGCTGTGTTACTCCCAAGTTAAAGAAGACTTTGGGGATGTGCCGAGGCTTCACTCCAGCTTTTAGGAAAGAAGCCAGTGTTTTTCTTTTCAATAGTTGAAAGAGAAGTTGTGATCCCTCTGATCACATTTGAATTGGGTTTTAGCTGGGGATGGACTTGCTAACCCCCTCAAATGCCTTAGATAGAAAGAAGATATAAATTGTAAATATATTTTGCAAGATTTTCCCCCTCCCCCAATTCCTCTAGAAAGAACTTATCTGGCCAATATTTTTAAATACCTCAAATGTATAGAATCCAGTCTACACAACTCTATGGAAAAGAATGCATTTATTATCTGTTTAACATAGATAAAATATATATGTTGTTCTGCATGCTGCAAAAGATTTTTTTTAATAAACATGAAATAGACATAACATAAATCTAAGTTACATAACCACTGGAATAGCAGCTGGCCTGAAGAAGAGACATGCATAGTAATCATCTTTGGGAAGCCAAAGATGTTAAAAAAAACAAAACAACCTCAGGCCAAATCTCACTAAATATGGAATAAGTTACATACATTAATTGGATCCAAAAGTGATTGTACTTGAGGCCGACCTGTTTAAAGCCACTTGGTCTCAATCCTTTTTTAAACTCTTTTAAAGCTTTCCTGGACCTGGAGCCAACTCACTGATGGTAAAGGCACTAATTGGCTGCCCTGCCTGACAAGGCCTGGGTTCAAAGCATTCAGTATTTGTCAAATGGCATTCTTTTTAAACCTGGAGTTGCTCGGGCACGCAAGATGCGAGTATAAGGGCTCCCCGTCGCTGCCGGCTGAGCCGTTGCGCGAGTGAGGAAGTTGCGCAAGAATGGCTTCTTGATGGGAGGCTGATTCCTGGGCTGCACGTTTTCATTATTTGCACATAAGCGCTTTTTCATGGAAGCCGGTGCCACCGACACTGCGTTTGCTGCAGCCTGGAGCTTCTGCACAGTCTGATATTGCTCTGCGATACAGGCAGCTTTCTTCCGCATATCCATCTTCACCAGTATCATGTTATTCTGAAGTTCAGCCAAGGTCTGGTCCTAGAAAAAAACATCCAGCCAAAAGATGGTGGTGATTTATCCCAAACAATGGCCCTGCCAATCTGACAGCTGCCTCCTAGCTTTATGGACTGAAAGTGACACACTAATTTCTGCCTCTTCCAGACTAACTAGCACCATTTTGATCAGCCAGAGACCTCAAACTGCATGAATAATAGCCTTATCTCCATAATATCTGTTGATTGACTTTGGGTTTGGAATGCAAAGTGTTACAGTGATAGCTTGGTACTCTTTGTTAATTGTTCCTGGAAAGTGCGACCTTTTTACCAAAAAGGTCGAGTCCCAAACAAATCACATGACTTGCCATGTAACTCTTTGTTTCAGCGGGGATGAATTTTATGTCCGCCCTCCCGCTTCTTTTGCAGCTAACTTTCCAGCATGGCTGACTTCCTGTCTATTCCCCAAAGCAATCACCCTCTTCGTATATAGCAGCGTGTTGAGTGCTAAACAAAGGTTGAGTACTGGGACAACATTTTCATGCCAAAATGCAACGAGTAGCAAAAAATCAGGGTTTGTGGCAGTCCTGTCTTCTCAAAAAGTTTTTCTTTTTAGTATGGTACTTAGTAAAAGCATTCCCCCAGCCCCCTCTCCCTAATTAAAAGAAAATTAATTTATTGGGCTACTGCCTCTGCTTCACCGTTTTACATTTTCTTTATACTGAGGGATTAATTTTGCAATTTCTTTATGCTATAAGGTTGTCAGCAAAGGATAAAAGCAGCCTATAAAAACAGTCATTTAAAAGTGTAATAGGAAAAAAGAGCCTCGCAAAGTAGCTAGATTCAGCAGGCCTTTCCATACCTGCTTGAGCAGGATACTGTCACACTTGTTGAGGGCTTCGCGGAGTTTCTCAGCGCTTGTGCGGTGACAACATGCTCTTTCTGCTGACTGGAACAGCTCTCCAAGATTCATCAGCTCTGCACGTAGCATCCTCACATTCTGAGAGAACAAGGAAGAGTCACATAACCAAGCAGAGAAAGATGAGAGCAGAAAGCTTTGATTATAAAGGGCAAGCTTCCCACCAGCGGAGGAGCTAGGAAGAATACAGGTAGTCCTTGAGCTAGGACCAATCATTCAGTGATCTTTTAAAATTACAGTAGCACCGAACAAAAGGGATTTACAATTGGTTCACAAAACAGCTTCTCCACAATCTCTCAGGCATCCTGTTTGCGACTTCAATGTCACGGTGAGCTGCAGTCACGTGACTGTCATTTGCAACCTTCCCTGTGGCTTCCCAGAATAGAAGACAATGGGGAAGCCAGAAGGGAAGGTCACAAGTCACTCTTGTAAGTCGCTCCCACTGCCTTTTCTCCCTAGGAGTTCCACTACAGAGAACACGATCCCAGAGAGAGCCCAGGCCTCCCTGTAGGGCCTGCCCACGGCCTTCCCCCTCAATCACATCCACACACTCCCTCACATTCCTTGTCCGGGCCTCCTGTCTCTACTTCTACTTAACAACCCATACTGTCCTGGGGTTATGAAGGCAACCTGGACTGCGGGGATTGCTATTGGCAAGTGGTGTGTGGTCACATGACATTTCATTTTATTACTGCGTCACTTAATGACAGCAATACCACTCTCAGGTACTGTGGTATCTCAAGGACTACCTTGATCAGCAACATCTACCCCCCCCCCCCAAAAAAAAGAGAAATCTAAGCTTTTTTAATAAGCTCTTGCTCCCTCTGTTAGTTACCTTTTGACCTTCTAATAACTTCCGGTCTAAATCAGCAGCAATGGGCCTTGCCGAAGGTGGAGGCTCCAACATTTTTCGGTAGTTAAGCAGTTCTGTAGGAAAACAGGGCCAAGTGCAAGAAGAAATTAAGCCTAGCAAATGAATGGCTAATGTTCATGATATCCCCCAAATCAAGACCAAGATAGAGGTGAAAGATAGAGATGTTTCCTAAGAAATATCAAATCTCTCTTGCTTTTTTCCCACAAAATAAAGCAGACTCGCTGAATTTAGATGTAAGGAGATTAGAGGTGATGATGAAAATAATTATTTCTCTTTTTAAAGCTATCATATGCCTATGCGGTGATGGGCTTGTTACTCAAAGGAAAGCCAATAATGTCACAGGACACAATTAAGAGGGCTACGTAACACAAGGCAGAGGATAATTTAACATTGGGCAGATGTACATCAATTTTCACAACACTCCAATAATTAAGGCAGTTTGCCTTTCTCCAGATATACCGTCTGGTCTCCATGTGAAATTACAAGAAAAGGGGCTCACCTTTGGTAGATGCACTCAGCTCTGCCTGGCACTTCTCTAGTGTAATTTTCACCTCCTGCAATTCTTGCTGCGTAGATGTGGTTCGTCTGGATCTACGACAAGGTTCTTCCATATCTTGTCTCCTGCCTGCTTGTTTTGCCTCCTGCAAGGCAACTTCCAGCTCTTTTATCTTGTCGTCTCGATTCTGAAGAAAAAAAATAATAAGATGCTTTAACTGGGAAATGGAGGGAAAGGAGCTGTAGAACCAAGGAGGTATCTTCCTCAAGATTCCAATAAAAATGTGTCACTCTTTAAGTATCAGGCACGAATAACCAGACCCACACTTGTAGAGTTCAAACAAGTTTATTTTTCTATGTGTATTCTATAGGCATCTCCCTTTTCTGGTAGCATTCACTGGGAAAGACTACCGTATTT